GGGGGGCGGGGTGTCATGCAAAAGGGACTTTTTTTTTAAATCTTTCATATTCTAATGTCATCTGATCATAAACAGGCCCAGAGTGTTGCTTTGACTCATTCATGTTGGAGAAATCCTTGAATCTCCTGTGGCAGCCATGTGGAGCTGCCTAAACGCTTGCTGCTACAAGGCTCCGCCTATTAGTACGTAGCTCCTCCCTGGAGCTGAGTCTGTAGCCAAGCTCTCACCCCACAGAGCCAAGTAGGGGTCTCTGCAGACGAGTGGGCATTTCCAAAGGAAGGCAGTTCTTAAGAGAAACACCTGATTGGACGAGCACAAAGGGGGCATGACCAAAGAAGTCTACCTGATTGGACGAGCAAAAATAGGCATTACTGAAGCACACCACCTGATTGGATGATCGGTGCTTCGGCATTTCTTTATATTATTAGCTTACTTTCTACCCTAGCCTCGGACTTTCATTTTTATTTTCAATACATTTAGTTTTACAAACTTGCTCTTGGAAATAATAACAGCCCACAGGTTAGCTGCTGGTATTGTTTATATGAAGACGCAGACAGTGTCGGACCCAATGTCTTCATTCATTGTTTCCACTTCTCTTAACAAAGAGCTCCAGGTTGTATTTCAAAATAAGAGCAACATCACTCTGTAGTGTTTTTTTTAGACATTTAGAAATAGGGAGAACAAAATGTTTGGTTTTAATGATACATTGTGGTTTCATTAAAAAAAACAAAAGCAGTTTTGGTTACTAAAATTATTGTGAAAGTAGTTAAAGTCAAAAGTGAAAGAAAAACTAAAGAGAAGAACCAAAAATCCAAGTAGCCAATCAGTGTTTATGCTTCAGATACACCTACTCTTGTGACACCGTTACTTTGAGTCTGCAGGGAACCACTTCTCTATGAAAGGTTGTAAACAGCATGAAGCAATGTTAAGACATGCTGAAGTGGGAGTGTTGGAAATGGTAGGAGGTTCTTAAAGAGGCAAAGGTCAGTTTCAAGGTATTTAGAAAGACYATGATGGAAAATATTGATTGATTTTTGATTTGACAGCTTTTTATAACAGCAGAAGTTAACAGAGTTTCTGGATTGTGGTTCAGAACTGAACTRTGTGGAAAATACACAATACTCCTGCTTTAAAAATGTTTGGATTCTGATTTTCTCCTTGAGAAAATACCTCAGGCTGTTATCCTCCAGGACCAGGTCCCATTCTGTCAGGACATCAGACATGTTTCTTCTGAAAGCTTTGTCAGCTCTGTTCTCAGAGCTCCACAGTTTCTGTCTTCTGTCATTTCTCTGCCCCGTCAATTAGTTTTGCTCTTAAAGTTATATTCTTAAGACTTTAATATGCTATTAAAACATATTACTGTCAATTAAAAGTCTGAAAAAGCCCTATAAGAACCGCCTGATACCCATCAGATCTTTAGCTTTGCTGCTGCCCCCTGCTGGACCCTGAAGGGGTGTGTTTGGTCCTCTAATGTCATTCTGACGTTCAGCTGTAAATAAATGATGTGAACTCCGTCACACAGGTTTGGTTTTCTTTAAAACATTCACCTTTCTGTTCTGGTTTTAGTAAAAAAAGGATTTAAAGATTGTTGAACTTGTCTTTAGGACCAACACCAGACTGGGCACAGGACTAATGGGACACCGTGGGACACACACCAGATTTCAAGCATTAAACTTGGACTAATATTAGGGACTAACAAAGTGTTGTTGAACAGTTCTTTTATTNGACTGGTCATGTGATTTAAGACTGGTCATGTGATCCACGACTGGTCATGTGATCCAGTTATCATGAAATTAAAAGACTGGACTGTTTGTTGAATCATGTTTGGACCTGCTGACCCTGTGGTTCCTGTTCTGAATTATTCTTGACCACATGTCTGGTTCTGATATGATCAGAACCTCCTGGTCCTGCTGGACCCCACTGGTTGTCAGATATTCTTTTACATTAATTTCCAGCATTAATTCATTTGGTTCCTTTTTCTGGTTGGACCTAGTCTGATCCAGTATAAGTGGTCCTTAGTCCTGTTCCCCAGGTCCTTCAGTTCTCAGGATCCTCAATCCGACAGGTCTTAAACATTTCTGATCATCAGATTTGATAGAAATAAATGAGTCATTAACAGGCTTTGGTAGAACTGGGTGACATTCAGGTGTGTAGGAGCAGAAACATTCAGAACCTGCAGAACTGAAGGTAGGAAGGACCAGAGTTAAGACCACGGTCTTACAGCCACTCACTTTTATTTATTTATTTATTTATTTATTTA